ATTGTTGAGTTAGAACGATAGAATCCTCATATTGCTTTAGGGGACAGGAGGGTTTAAAGGAGGTACCTTGCAGCCCTGTTTTACAGATCGGAGGCTTTGGTGTTAAGGGCACAGGCAGATGGCTCGCTTGTTCGCTGCAGTGGCTCGCTGCTGTGTCGGGACAGTGTGGAATGGAAGTCCTAGTTGGTAGTCTGTTATGGAAATGCTGTTTACTGTTATTGTAGTACCGTGGGGACAACATGCCATTGAAATGGAAAACGAGCTCTCCTGCTATCTGGAAATTCCCAGTTCCTGTGCTTAAAACATCCAGGTCAACTCCACTTTCTCCAGCATACATGTAAGTGAGAGAAAAGAGGATATTAAAGTGGGGTTTCATTACTGAATCAACCTTGTGGCAAACGGGGGTAAAACAAAACAAAACAAAATCCCGAACAGCAACATCCCCAAACCCACAAGTGTAAAAAATCTCAAGCTGGTTTATAATGAAATATATTGGCATGCCCACGTTTTACCTTCTGTTGCTTGTCCTAGGAGTTGATGTTTATTTTCATTTAATGTGCTTAACGGTCATTGGATTACTAATGTATAAGTCTAAAGGTACACCTAAGGAATTGCCTAAGCATAGACTTTCATGTTTCAGGCTGGTTGGGTTTTGTTTCGAATTTTTGTATAGCTGAAATATTTAAGATGACTTCTTTTGTGTAGTGGCACAAAACACTGCTGGTGAAGGGAAATGCTCTCTATAATTTTTGGATCAATTGGAAACATTCGGAGTTAACACATTGATCAGAAAATGAGCCTTGTAACTAGGACTTTTATACTTGTGTATGAATATTAATAAGTTCAATGTTCTATCTCTCCCAGTTTTATAATTCCGGTTCTGAAGTGTAAGTTCAAATTTGTGCAAGTTCTAGTTCTGTCAATAGTTATGTACATACATAGAGTTGAAAAGTATGGTCTACAAATGCCTGTTTTAGAAATTTATTTTAAGTAAATATATACTAAAATATATTGGGAAGTCTTACTAGAATTTTTTAAAATCTGAGTTTTTAAATTTGCAAACTGTTGCCTTAGAAACAAAATCCAGGCGATATAATGAAATCTTCTTTTAAAATACTGTCTGTGACCCTTTTTTCCCCCCCTTTCGGTAGGGAAAGGAGCAAGGGAAAGCTGGACCTTTTATTATTTTTATTTTTTAAATATTAGCATATGAAAAGCTTTTGGAGTAGAAGCCTGTTCTAACTGTATTTCCTTTACAATATTTTTCAGTAGGAAAGCTATGGAAAATTCTTCCTGCTTTAGGTTAATTATGTGTTTAGAAAGCCGGTGAGTTGCCATTTTATTAGTTTTTGTTTTATATGAGGTTCAGAAGCACAGTGGTGTCTTATCTGGTTCTTTGAAAGGCTTTCAGCTGCTGAGGAACTGTGCTGGTGCTCTCAGTCCAAAGGAAGCGATTCCCTAGAAAGAGTTGAAAAATGAGGACATTTTAGAGTGAAATTCTGACATCATGTCATTTTCAGATTATTTTTTATGTTCTTCCTTAGAAGTGCTTCAGATGATTTTATCTGTTTGCTTGTTTGACTTTTCCCATAGAGTTAAAATTTTAAGTTAGATTTGTGAAAGAAAGGGAAAAAAAAGATCAGCTATATTTGTTTCTCAAAAGCTGAATTTGTCAAAAGCACAAATTAATGGAGGTGACAAGTTAATTGAGGTGACAAGTTAATGGAGCTCCTTCAAATCATTTGAGAAAATGTGATGTGCCTGTTGACTTTCTGAATCCTAGCTGGTGAGAAATGAGCAAAGATTTACCAAAAGCAACTTCATTGTAAAAACAAAATAAAACATACACCCTCCCAAACTTGAAATCAGTAGGGTACAATTAATAATAGCTATTAATGAGTCTGGTGTTCCTCCTATATTTCACCATACAGAGGATCCAAACTGTAGCTCCTACTGTGGCTAGATTTTTAGAGATGCTTAAAAAAAATGTATATTTTATTAATTCATACTAGCCACAGGCTCAGGTACAGCTTAATACAGCATCTGTAATGAATCACTTTCTTCCTTTTAAGTACTCGCCTCTTTGACCTGATGATGTGAGTGAATTGATTTAGATGGTGGAAGCTGGAAAATACCACACATCTTGCATGTTGATGTTGATTGCTGGTAGTACACAGAGGTAGAATGGGAAAGTGCATTTGATGGGCTAGGGTTAGGTTACACCATTTTGACATTGTCACAGTCTAAGTTATTCAATTGGCCTTAACTTATTTTTCTTTATAAACAAATTAATACGGCGTTTTAAATATCATGTCAATATACACAGGGAAAATATGGTAAATAATAGGAAAAGACTGGCTTAGGGAGTATAAGTCTGGTTTCTAAAATACATTGCTTAGTTTTTGACTGTTTCAGGTTGGAGTTCATTGCCTTACTTGGCCAGAAATAAAAATACCATGTGTAACACGTTCTCATCAGACCTTCTTTATATTCCACAACACTTCTGCACGCAAAAGGATACCTAAGTTGAGCGTAATTTTCGCTTTCAAAAATCACAAAGACTAAGTTAGAAAACTGGATCAAGTAAAGTTATGTTTGCTCTCACAGTTGTTGGGTTAAATAGTTATTTGTGTCTTTGGGTCTAAAGTCTTTGCCTTGAAATGGAATAGTTTAATTCTGACTTTTTGGCCAGTTGTGATATTTTAGAGTTGATCCATGAAATTATATCTAACCCTTTACAGTATTATCTGGAATACAGAATTCTGGACAGTTCCGAGAAACACCTTTTTTGTATGTTTTCTTGAGTCACATCCGTATTGGTTTGTAGTATTGTATCAATATTTATTGTGATTTGTCAAATAACACATTCCATGGTTTTCATCGAGGATTTGGGTCATTTTTCAAAGAATGAAATGTCAATAAAAATCTCTGGGGCTGTAGTAAAAATGTGCTGTAGCAATTGAGCAAATATGGAAACAATATAAAGGCTCCTTGTGGTCTCGTTCTCAGCCCAGGGTAGATGACGCTTAGGTGTGTAGTGCTTGCTACTCCCGTGAAAGGGACAACAGACAATGTTTCACTTACTGCAAGCATTAAACAGAAAGGCGATTTTGCCCTTGTGGATTTCAAATCCAAGTTTGCCTTCTTTCTTGTGGAAAGCTTGAATGAGAGGCTCAACCTGTCCATATATTCAAGACTGGTCGATGATGAGGACAATGTTGATGGCGATATTAAGGAGAATCGTCTCTTCTATAGCATAAACGCTCTTTCTTCGCTCTTCGAGTTGTGTTATCCTCTGATTCAGGAATAGTGGGAGTACCCTAAGGACAAAAGATGGAGGAAAATATCCTTTGGCCTTCAGGCAGCTTGGTTACCAAATGCTTATTCTTTACTGGTTAGATGGAGCCTTCCCTCAGCTTCCGTTTGGAACCCTTGCAAGGTGGTGTGCCATCCATCCTGAATTCTGACGGGACCGTCTTAATAGAAACCTGAGTGACATGTTTGTGTTACACTCTGTTCCACAGTAGGTTGAAGTTCAGCCTTAGCCTGAGGGAGGATCTCCTGGTCAGTGTAAACTGAATTAGTAAAGACTCCCTTCTTGACAGGGGTGAACCCTATAAATTAACCTGTCATTTTGCCTAAATTAATAAAACTGAAAGGGCAGTCACATCTAAGTGGTTTTCTGGTGTTTTGGTATTCAATGTTTTAAAACAGCAAATGGTTCCTTCAGGCTACTGTTAGAGGGTTAATGTATTGTTAATTTCTAAGGGCAGCTGAAATAGATCAGGATTAGCATTAGCAATCCTTTTATCTTTTTTCACAAGCTGTAAGTTTTGATAATGGTGTGGCACTAAAGAGGAAGACAATGAGTAGGAATTAAGCAGTGCAAAGTAGCAGGGAATTTTCTAGCGAGTCACATGCGATGGGATGTTTTCATTTGAAATTTTACCTTTCTCAAGCTAGAAGACAATGAGTGTAGAATGAGTGTTAGACCTGTGCACCTTAAGCTAACGTATTTGGCTTTGGTCAGCTTCCTGTTTACGGTTATTTTGCTTAATATGTAAAATAGAGTTTGTAGTAAATATCAACAGCCCAGTACTTTATAGCAATTGTTTTCTATCATTGTATCATTAAAATTCAGTCTCTAGATTTCCTGAGGAAAGACTGCGCAGCCTGTATAAGCATTCCTGGTTTATGGGTGATTCAAAAAAAGAGAATAAAAACAGGCATTTTCAAAATTTGACATGTCTTCCGTTCCCAAAGATTGTCTTTTGTTCTTATTTAATGATTATAATAAAACCCCATGGTTTTAGAAGTCATGATTTATTTGGCAAAATACTTCTTAAACTGATCATCTCAAATTAGAAAAGAATATATGTAACTCCTTTCACAGTTACCACATACATAAACTTTTATTTGTCTGCTTAATTTGTTTTTACTAAATGCTCACTCTAACAAAATTACGTGGAGAAATAACATAAACATCGCCTAAGAACCATTTAGTGTGAGTGTGTAACTTCGGTGGCATGTCCTTGGGGAATTTCTATTGTCTGAGCCTACAGAAGGGCTAGCTTAACACACATTAATGGAAAACCCTAGAGCTAAAGATGACCTTAGAGGTCACTAGAGAATCTAAACCCCCTTTAAAGCAGGCATCCTTTCTGCGACACCTCTGAAAGATGGTAAGAAACATTCTCCTTGATCACCATCAATGACAGATAGCTCACTACCTCACCAAGGCAGCACCTCTCACACGTGGACAGCTCTTCCTTGCGCTGAGCAAAATCTTTCCTAAATCTTCTATCTCCAGATCCTCGTGTAGCCTTTTGGACCTGGATAGAAAAAATCTTTCTTTTCTGTCCTACCTACAAGCCTGGATATCTCTTTCTTTAACCCTTGCTTGTATGACATGTTTTCCAGACCCTTCGCTCTGCTGGAAGACTCACCTGGCCCGCTTTTTTCATGTTAATCTTTATACCAGAGATTGCATCCCAGTGCAGCGCTCCCTGTGTGGTCTGAATAGAAGACACCTTTCTCCTTTTATACAGACCTTCTGCTTGTCTGACTGAGATTGTATCATTTTTAATCACAGGATCCACACTGTTCCCTGGTGAATTCCGAGTTTACAGACTTCCTCTCCAGAGGTTCATGAATGGGCGGCTTGCTCCTCCTAGTCAGTGTGGATTCTCTTTGCTACTTCAGAATTTTTAGTCAGGGGAAGCCTGCCTGCCGTGTGCAAGGGGTGTTAGAAACTTGTCCTCGAGCCAATTGTGTGTGTGTTTTAAAAGATCTCTTGAAACCATTTAATGTTACTCTAGAATATCGCACAAAAGAAAC